CGAACGACGGCCTAAAAACCCATTAGTTTTAAGGAATGGCCTCGAAAGTCTATCTCGCATATCACTCATTTGCCCCCAAAATATGGCAGCACTCGGGGGGCTGTTTTGTCGCCGCACTGACTGCAAGGTGACACCGTTATCCTAACCTCAACGCATGTTATTGTCACTTTTATTTTGTTGGCTTCATATTTATCCATGGTTACCGGAGTTTTTAAGAATTACGAAGGAACAGCTATTTACGAAATGTCAATTAGACCGATTACCTTGAAAAACATTGTTGCCATCCGTCTGATCTAGTTTTTTGCAAATATCTGAGTTTTTAAGAACAATTCATTTGTTTCTGTACTCCCGAGACACCCCCAGACAACACCTCCAGAGGAATGACGCAAACTTTGAATCACCCTGCATAAATAATCTCAACTAAGGCCTTACCGTAAAGTATAAATCAGGACGAAAATTAATGTATAATTCACGCTGAGAGTGGATAAATCAATAAAAACGTTAAAAGCGAATATGCAAATCGAATGGACACACAAAAGATTTGTTTGTTATCGGAATTTTGAGTAGAAACAATGAATCAGGATTCTCGCCCACTGATTCTGCCTATGAAGGTGAACTGCTTGCTTTTGATGACTGTAAAGTCGCGTTTGGGTCGCAAACTACCGTTTTGGCTCGACGGATTTGCCCAAAATGGGTTTTTAAGTAGCCATTAGAAAGCTGATAAGCATAAAACGGCCTTAAGAAAATCAGTTCACCTAAAAAAGTTCCTTATTCGGCGCCACCATTTCATATTATTAAGTGTATTAGAAATGTCCACATGGCCTTTTACGCAAACTCAAATCGCCTTAACCGATTGCTCATCGTTCTAATGTTTTTAATAACATCTTAATGCCAAGGCTGGTGGTTGGATAGTAATACAAAATACTTGCGTATTTTGAGGACGAGATACTAATTATAATTAACGGTCGCATTGTGTTCACTAATTTCAGTAATTAGACCTGCGGTTGTATCACGAATTAGCAGCGCCTTCGATTGCTCAATTGGGGGAGGTTTGACGTTTTTGAGTAACTGCTTCGATTCCAAAGTGGAAACTTGTCTAAAAATCAGCATGTTGATAGCGACGGCACTATCGACGTTCTGATTTTTAGACAAGGTTTTCACAGCGGCACTTCGAGACGGAAGGAGTTGCTCAACAGCAATTGATCAATCGTGAAGGCTACTCATCTGTGATTAGTGAGTTTCCTCCGGTTCAAGTTTGATGGTTTTAATTCCTTTCCCGTACAAAACACGTTTAGCCTTTCCACTGCGACTGAATGTTTATGGGTAATATGCTCAGATGCTATCCGGTAGATTTATTTGTTTTGTGATTCCACCAAATTAATGCGAAACGAGATATTTGGTGGCTGATGTCACTCATGGAAGAACCTTAACCTTTTCAAATCGCATTCCTAATTGTGTAAGTAACATTAATTGTTTCGGATCTGTACCAACCTCGTCGTACGGTTTGGCTCAGCCGATTTTATTGTGCCATCAATTTCCCCGATTCCTGTTTTTACCGATTCAGTGCTGACACAAAAACGCGACTCAGTTATCGTCAGAATATTTAATTTTATTACGAAAATTTGCATTTTGCTGCCGTTGCCCACGTATCTAAGCTCTAAGCAGGCACGTGATGATTGGACGCATCTTTTGCGGTAGGAAATAGGAAAATCCTGCAGATTGAACAAACGCAGCACTTGCCGAATGTCCAAAAATTTCCTCACAATGTTGTGAATAGAATTATTGATCTGTCCGCAGGAGACATTTATCGAAAAAAAATCCTAAAGCGTAAAGCCCGCATAAGCAATTGGTAGTTTAATTGGGATATTATTCAAATTGATTGGTTGGGAAGCCGGTCCTATGCAGAGCCGAATTTAGCAAAACACTACGGTTATTGGAGAATGCTGTTAACCCACTTTGGCAA